GTGCCGGATTCTTTATCGTTTCTTTTATTGGGAATCGCATTGCTATTGGAAGAGGATTCATGTGGAATCACTTCTTGTCATTTTTCGACCAATTCCGGGATTTTATCGAGAATACTTATGTCGAGCAATTTCTACTCAATACTGATTTATAGTTAATCAATTAATCGACTGTACTAAATTTTTTTCATGATTTTTGGGACTGAAATTCGGAAATTCTGATTCTGTCCTCAATTTCAACTTTTTATCGAAATTTCAGGTTTTTCTGGTATGAAATATTCATGTTCCATTGAAAATTCAATTAAATCGTGGAATTTTATGAATTCCCTTATCCTCCCATGAGAATAATTTCCATAAATCCATGAATTTGAAAAAAATTTCTGACAATGTAGATTTTATTATCGAATATCCCTCGATCAAGCGAAAAATATTCAAAATTCAGATCCATTTTTGCCGTGGGCACGTGAGGAATAGATATTTTTGGGGTAGATTTATCGCTGGGGGTGGGTTCTATGGACGTGGGGGTGAGTTTCAATAAACAGGGGGTGGATTTTTCATGTGGGGGAAGTTCTATTCACCGTATCTGCTATATTCCTGAATTCGGATATATTCGGAATTGTGAGGATTGATCTTTTTCGAAGGGTTTATTACTGGGGGTGAGTTCTATGAATGCCCGTTTTAATAAACAATTGGCCTTGGGGTGGAGGGATTCATTATTGTGAATGGGCTCCTCCCGAATTCAAGGAGCGACGAGTTGATCGATATGGAGCATTTATTTTTCAGATCACTGGATCCACCGTCCGACTGAATACTGACATCTATCACTGAACAAATTAACGAATCGAAATTCTCTTTACGGACTCAATTGCGTTTCAAATTTTTACTGGAAATTCTTCGGCAATCGCTCGGAATTCATTTCCACCCGAAATTTATCCTTTATTTATTTAATTTTTATTTACAAAAATTAACAAACCCCATTCACGGATGGGAAAATAGTTGATAGTATGAGATGAGTAAAATGGAGGAGTGGCTCATTGAAAATTCGGTAGGTAAAATTTTTTCTCGGATGATGAAAACAACGCAAAGGATTTCCATCGCGTGACGGAGTGGATGTACGTAATTCGTTGAAACGAGACGAATCAATTGGCAAACGGAATGACTGAATATTCCGGGAAATGTCAGAGCGAAGTGTTTATATAGATGGATTGTATAATTTGTAGGCTGACTGACTCACCAGCACTCGGAGCTCTTAATACACATCCCTGCGCCCTGTGGATGCTGTCTAGGTGTATCCCCACACCTCCCACGGCACTTCATGATCCGTCTAATCCCTCCTTCAGGTAGCACTATCCACCCGGGTATGGGATCGTAAAACGTGGTAGTTTGTTGGTCACGGTGCACGATCCCACGGAAATTCGGACCAACCGTGACGTCGGGATTTCCCATCCCCGTTGGCTCTTCACACGCCAAATCCCCTCACCACCAAATCCAGACACCTTTATTTTATGCATGAAAAATCATTGCTCATTGCCTTCATTAAATTTATATCGCCACCAGGGACCAACTTACCACCCAGAGCACAATACTCTTACTCTTGTTAAATTACACTTGAAATTTCATGTACACCGACAAATATATGTCATGGAATTCATTTCGCAATTTACCCTACTCCCTATTTTGCCAATTATCTGCAATTATTGAAGATAATTAAATATAATTATTTACTCTTCTCAGTCTTCAGAGAAATTGGCAAGTTTTTACGAAAGTCACGAAAAAGTGACAAGTAATTTATCATTTCCATAAATTAATAATTCCCATAAATGATATATTTAGTGTTAATTTTAAATTGATTATGATTAATTTTAGGATTTTGTAGGGGAATTCGTTGACGTGGAATTAATTGATATTTCGTCGTACTTTGGATTATTTTAATCTGATTTTCGACTCTTTCCTGCAGTCGCTCGTCTTCCAATTATGTTTTCGTGCTGTGCGGCATGTGGGGCTTTGGGTCAAACGCAAAGAAATAAAGGTTTCCTCGTACATAATTGCTCACGTAGATTGCAATTGCCGGCGAGTGCAACGGCCAATTAAACTCCAACTCCCCCTCCGTCACTTTTCTCCCGTGAGAGCCTTCCTCGTGTATTTTACTTTCTTACTGTGGAAAAGTCATCACCGAATTCGACCTTTTCGTTACGAATTTAACTGTTGGGCTGCACCTCAAAAAAAATTTCCATTACTCAATTCTCCATGCGAGTGCAATTGAATTCAGGTGGAGAATCCATTTTATTCCGTTTGAATCTTTTAAAATATTCAAAAATTAAATATTGCAATAATTGGAATTGAATAATCGATTGATAATTTATTGCAGTTAATATTTATATCGTTGAAAAAATATTGGAATTTTCAATCACATTCTTTTCGAGAGGAAATCATTTTTAAGGATAAGAAATGATTTTTTTTATGAGGATAAGACTGGAATTCTTGAGAAATTTTCAATGCTGTTTCTGAATACCTCATTTCACTCGGCTGATTTTTCATGTATTAAGACCCTTCGATTTTTGATGGAACCTACAAGTGCGTTTCCTCTTGACTGAATGAGCCAAAGAGCATCGAACACCTTTCCACGATCGCGAATTTTCCCAGCTTTTCAATATCCCCTCCTATTTCACTCGAGTTTTTCCATTCCTCTTTCATGTATAGAAACTTCACGCTATCGCAACGCTCTCATTCATATTTAACATGAGACCCAGTGAACTGATAACGAGGATTTTTTAATTGAAATGGAGTTTATGGATTAAATAAAATAATTGCTCACCGAGAGAGGTCTTGTTACAATCAATTACTGCATGTAACTCGTGTTTTCAATCGCTTTTTTTTTCACTTGTAGCGGATTTTTTAATTAATTCGGGGGAAAGTGTGGGAATTAATCGAGGGGAAAATATCATTTTTCCCAGAATTTTCATTCGATATTATGCATTTAATTTGATTAAATTGATAATAATTATTTATCAGCCGACGATTATGTGACTAGTTTGCGGAAAATTTGTGGAATTTCTCAACAGTTTAGAAATTATTCGCGGGTGTAATCATACCTGCATCAACAGTCGCGACAATTTTCGCCTCATCCGTTATATTTCCCTCATCACTTGAGCTCAAGTGCAGTCGGAAAATGTGCGAAAACTTGTCAGCGTGCCAGTCATGAATAAAACTCAGCAATTTCAATAAGCTCAAGAGTGACGCAATTAGCCTGAAACCGTATTCTTTTTGACCCCTCACCTTCCACTATCACACCGGCAGTGAAATGTTTACCCTAATGAACCTTTTCCGTGCAACTTTCACTCATAAATGAATAAAGTGAAAACAAAATGTGCATAATTTACTCCTCTTTGATGGAGATTTATTTCGTAGGGTTTTTCCATGCCGTTTGAAGTTGAATTTCATGGATTTCTCCGGCTGTTCGCGAGGATTTTCCGTGAATGGCGGTAATTATAGACTTTTAGGGGAGATGATTAGTTGTTCGTTAAGAGTATTTTAATTAGTTAGGATGCTTGGGTTATTGAGAGAAGTTGAGAATGGCCAGTGGCGGTGATTGTTCAAATTTACGGGCAGAATTTCCACCTGCACTTGCAATTATAAATATCTCATCAGTTGAATTAACTCTAGCATTTAATACTCAATGGGAATTTAATAAATAACAATGTTTGAGGAGACGTTTTGTGATGAATTTAATGGTACTATAAATAAAATATGAATTTATTCGAGTTTATTTTGAGGATGAGAAATTTCTTGAAATATTCGTCAGCATGTCATTGAAATTTTAAATTACAGGAGTTTGAATTAAATTTTAATTGAAAGCAATCACGGATTCGCATGAAATTTTCCATCGATAACAATTTCCAATTAATTAATCAAGGATTTTTACCCATGGAAATGACATAAACTCAGCGAGATTGGCACACGTCGCATAAATTTTTATGTACAAAAGAGCCGTGATGTGTTTAATTCCCCGTAATTTCCAGACAACCCAGTGAAACAAAACTCCCTTCGCCCATTGCCCAAGGGAAAGCGTAATTTAATGTGAGTGCATTTGAGTGCAGCTGGAAAAATAAACGGTGAAAAAAAAAAGCGAGGGAGAAAGATAAAAAAAAAAAAAGAAAATTGAAGTGAGATAAAAATAATTTTGAGAGAAGCGAGAGGTAGTGCCAGTAAATTCGGGATAAACGTGTCAGTGGAGAAAAGGGAAGAGGGAGAGAATGTCAGAGAATGAAAGGAGATTAGGAGGTATAAAGATGGAAAGATTCCCCACTGAAAGGTGGGAGGGAGAGGTGGAAAAAGGGGATGATGAGGGAGAATGAGGGAGAAGGACGCGAGGGGCTGAGGGGGTACAGGAAAAAAAGAAACAAGTGGATGGGAATAAGTGAAGGAATATAAGTGTAAAAAGGAGGTAAAAGGCGTGCTGCCGTCTTATTGCCACTCGTTCCTTCCCTACCGTCCAGCTATGTCGTAACACTACGTGGGTTAGAAGTTTTACCTTCCCATTCCACCCCCTTCATCCTGGCCTCTCGATCCTTTCCACGATGTACTGGGTACTCTCCAGAACTCTTTTGCTACCTTGGAGCTTCTTTTATACTCAATCCAGTTTGGGAGGAGGTCGGCGCGGTAGACCGTTCAGTCGTGCTGCAGTGTCACTGCGGCTCCACTGAAATTAAACCATCCCCATTCACCTCCTTCCACCTCCTTTCACCCCCTTTCCACCTCCTTTCACCCCCCTTCCACCTCCTTCCACCCCCTTCCACCTCCTTTCACCCCCCTTCCACCTCCTTTCACCCCCCTTCCACCTCCTTTCACCTCCCTCCCACCTCCTTCAACCCCCTTCCACCTCTTTCCACCTCCTTCAACCCCCTATTCACCCCCCTAACGCATCAGAAAATTATTTATATATTGTTATATTCCTCTCGCAGTCAAACACCGCAAGTTGACTCGAGCGGTTCATTAAGCTCCGAAGAGAATATAGAAACAATATAATCTTTCCGAATGTAGATTTTGTTGGGGGTTAATTGTATTCATTTAATTTATTATTATTATTATTATTATTGAGTATTCATTGTTTATTTTCAGGGGAAGTTAGTCGTGAGTAGTATGGATGATTATGGAGTTTTAAACAATGACGAATGTTAATTATCACTCCGGCAATTTTCCACTGCGATGAAACTCAAAACTCCATTTATGTGTTTAATTATATTTTAAATGGTGTATTGAGGGCAAGTGTTGCGGTAATCGCATACTCATGAAATTTTTCATAATTCGTGGGGGTGAGAAAAATATTTGGAGCTGATCGTGGAATGGAGAATATATCGTGAGCTGAGGGGCCTGCGGTAATTATTGCAATAGTTTATTTTCTCTTTAAATTTCTCTTTCTTCGGTACATCATCACAAACTTCAATTCCAGATTTTCTCGTCGTTGGGTAATTCGGAATTTTTTTCAAAGAGGTAGAGATGATTTTTGTCCCATCTCTGGAGGAAGATCGGAGATATTCTCTATTGAAAATCGTACAGCAGTCGGTTTACGATATTAGGTGGGTGGAATAGGGGGAAAATCGATTTTGTATTAAAAAAATTCGATTCTTATTATCTGAGGACGGAGAGTGGGAATGGCGACGCGACCTGACTCGATCGGTTATTTCCTTCGTATTCAAATCGGAAGAATAATTCTCGGGAATTGCTTAGTTTTCTCCACTCATATTTCCGATGCGTTTCAGGAACGATATCCAATTTTTCGGGCATTATATTGCGCGATCGTGCACTTATTTTTTATATCCTCTTTCGAAATTTCGTGCTTTCCCCTCAGAAATTTTAATTATATGATAATTTCATATGGAACATGTGTTTTATCATTCTCATGTCACCTCAGACTCCATTTAATTGAAAATAATGAGGTCAATTACTTTTTGATTTCATCGATCATGGAGTCATGTGACACGTGGAGTATTCAGTCGGATATTTGGTTTAGACAAAATTACATAGATGACACGATTTAACACTTGAACCAATAGAAACCGCGAGCCATTAAATATTGGAAAATTTTTAATTACAAGATCTCCATACGCAGAGGAAAATGAGGAAAGGGATGGATTTATTTTGAAGTACGAGTGATTATCCGGAGGGAATTTTCCTTCAAATGTCGGCCAAAACAATTCCACAGCAAAGCTGTAAACCCGAATAACTCGATTTATCACTTCAGTGAGTTCCTCGGGAATATCTCGGAAAGTTGAACAGACACCGGATTTGTATATGAATATTTTTTGTGGCCTTTAATTTGTCTATAAAAAAGGCCCCGATAAAAATTGTTCTATGTCCCTGGGTTAAAAAAAAAATTGTAATCGAAATATTTTTATTTTTGGAAAGGTTTTGAAAAATTTTTCAAAAATTTGAATAGGAAATTTTTTTTATAATTTCGATAGCGTTTTTTTTGAAAATATTGAAAAATCAAAAAAATAAGGGAACAACAGTATAATTAAAAGAAAAAATTATATTTGCAAAAATTTTGAGGAAATGACAAAAAAAATTTCTCAAACAAATTTTTGAAAAATTTTTCAAAACATTTCCCAAAAATATAATTAATTTGTTTCCCCATTTTTTTTTTCAAAAGAAAAATTTTCTGAAAAGTTTTCCAGAAATTTTTGGGAAATTTGGAAAAAATATTCCGATTACAATTTTTTTTTACCCGGGTCCTTTAGATTTCGAGATTTTTATGAAAAACTGATCAATACCAAGAATCGATTATTGCAGTTCAACATTTTTCCACTGATTGCCCTCTAAAACAAAATCCATGAAAATTTCTATTTATCAAAATAATGAAATCAGTGTATCAAGTATCCTTATCGATTCGAATAAACAACACGTGGACTCCAGGTGATTAAATAGGATGAGTTTTTTTTGTCACATATTTCACTGTTTGCAATACAACGCAATATAAAAATCACCGAAGCACATTGATTCGTGCGGTATAAAATAATTGGGCGAGACTAGCTGACGATCAAAAATTACTAGAGTCCAGGGAAAATACATACAACTGATCCAACATGAAGTACTGGGCCCATATTTTCGTCTTGTTATCAGTAGCACTTGTATGCCACGTAAGTTGTGAAAATATTCCGTCACTAAGTGTCTCATCACTTTGAAAACACAAGAAGTCTGATATTTCTAGAGTGAAGACTCCTTGCTAGTGATCAGCCATGATGTCAGCAAAATCCGTGAAATAAATTTAAAATACAAAACTCAACTGCTAAATCACCGGCACACCCACGAAAAATTACAGAACAACTCGCGAATTTTAGTAGAGAGTGAGATAAAAAATGCATTGAAGGAAATTATTGTAAGTGAAATTCAAACTCATTAACTAATTGCAGTGATTGGGGGAATAATTAATGAATTATTAATTAATGGAAATTGTAGATGAGAGCTGAAAACACGAACCACACGTGCGTGTTGTCGATGGCAAATGATTTCTCCTTTATGCAAAAAATATACTTGGCTAGTCTCTCGAGCTGTTCTCTGGCCCATTCACCCAATTGGACGTCGATCGTGACAAATCTCGATTTATTGATCGCCGTAAGTACATTCTCTCTGAAAAAATATTCAATAAAAACATTTAAATATTCGAATCAATCCATAATAAATGTTTGAATTGAAAAACAATATTAATCGCGATTTTTCAGTGACAAAATCAGATAATTCTTGTGAAATTTTAATTTCTCTCTTCACTCAATGAAAATTCGTGGAAAAATCCGGCAATCTTGAATTTTTTGGAAAACTATAGCATTCCAGAAAAATCAACAATTGAAAAGAATTCTTGCTGGCAATGGATTTTGTTTTTGTTTAATTTCCAAAAAAATTGCAATTTCCTGGTTTTTCCCTGAATTCGAAAGAAAAATTTGACTCAGAAGAAATCCGATCTCTTGAAATTGCAGACTGCAGCGAAAATCCAGAAGAAAATCGATCAAGTGATGCTCTATTGCTTTTTCAACTTCCACAGAATCCTCATCCATCCATGCACGAACTCGCAAATTCCAAAATTACAGAAAGCCGCATCTGACTATCGCCAAAGTACCTTCAACTTTCACTATTACATTGAAAATGCGTTTACCCTGCAAACTCTCCAAATAACCCACTGTAGTGGTGTTTACGAGAATATAAACACGGCAAGGGCGATGGCCGTACAATGTCTGGAAAAAAAAAATATCGATGAAAAATCATCGAGCTCCAATATAAACATTACGTCACCACATATTCAACCGATTGTTCTCTGAACAAAAAAGAAATTGTGCTTCGTCTGAAGTAAGTGATGCGTAGCACTGAAATGGAGCACCTGAACAAATATAGTACGTGAGGAACAATTAAAAATTCCATATTCCTATTGGTTAAAAATGTCCGGCGAACATGAAAAATAATTAGAAAAATTATTCGACGATAATTATATTGGACTATTTTTTATATGGATTTTTTCTGTCGATTACGAATTTGTCTTTTATTTGGGGGCGAACTCAAAATCACCCGCAAATCATCACATACCGGGAAAAAAAAACCACACGAAAATCCGGGTAACAACCCGACAGTTTTCCCAGCTTTTCACCCATCTCCACGCATTAACGTCCCACAGGCTCTCATGTGGGAGCTTTTCCCGACGTGACATGCACGGATTTACTGCCCTCCACCCTCTCGCCACAGACTTTGCAAAAAGGACATGTGGATTTTAGGAAACAGGCTTCGAACGTCTCAGTGTTATCTTTACGCTTCGACCGTACCGTCGAAACGTTGGATACAATGTTGAAAGAAAATTGCAGAGTTTCCCGGAAAATTCCGCAATTTTCGTTGCACGAAAAGAAAAATTGACGTATTTTAAATTCACTGAATTTCCCTGAGATTTGATAATTTTCGTGGAACAGTCCAAATAGAATCTGAAATTTCCCGGATTTTCCGATTTCCCCGTCATTTTCCTTTGGTATGTAATATGTACCTCAATTTCCCTGCAAAAATTACCGGATATTCTACACAATTACAAAGAGTTGGAATAAATTAAATAGAGAATTTTCCTGAAGGTGAGGTGTGAAAATTCGGAAAAGCTGGAAAATGGACTTTTGGGCTATGAATCGCGTGACGATATCGTCACTATATTTCTCCGCCACAGAACCCCCTACACACCCACTGAAAAGTTCAATCCACAGTTCCACAGGGGGTGGTAAAGGGGTAAGGGGGTTGGAAAACTCGAGTATGGGCTCGTCGGACCGGAGACAAACTCCGAGGAAAACTTTTCCTACGATTTCTCCACTCCCCCTTTTCTTCCCATTTCACCCCTCACCCCTTCTCTTTGGAAAACCCACCCCCTACAGCCGCTTATATATTTCACCTGGTGCGCTTTTCACGAACCTCCATCTCTCTAATCTCGTTTGTTCGACTCCTTCGTAATTTGTGGTTTTCATTTTCTTTTGAGGTTATTAAGGGAAAAAGTTCGGGGCTGAGGGTAATCAAGGAATGATCTATGGGTGATGGCATTTTTCGTCGGGTTTTTTTTTTTTTCTTCCGGTCTCTATTGTGATACATCGCCGAGGACTTACCAGTGAAATTTTTCCGGGTTTTTCCGCCAATGGAGTTTTTGTAACTTAGTATTGTTTTCATTACTTCCCTCAACAAGTTACATACAATAATCAAACTCCCCATACCTGAATTCCACTGAAGCGAAAAAAAAAAAAACGGAAACAAGGCACCAAATCCTATGAAGAGTCGCCGAATTCCCAATATTCTGAACAATTCGAAAAAAAAAACCATTGAGAATTTGGTGGACAACAAAAAACTTCTGCATCACTGGAGGGTCGGGTACAATATCAACTCGCAGGAAACTGGGAAGCTTCCAAAAGCTTTTTTGACAATTGTTTTGTTATTGTCGCATGAACGTTCTTGAAATCTCGCGTATTCACTCGTTCTGGAATTGAATTAACTGTTTACAACGTGGATAATTGATAACTGAAATATACTCCTCATTTTTTAGGTCACCGCGTGATTTTTCTTTTTGAATTTTCATGGATTTTTCTTTCCGTTGAAATAAAGTTCTAATGGAGCATGAGATCATGCTGACGCCAAATGACCAACAGTAAAATAACGAGTGGGGGAGGTACTCCCAAATAAAAAGCAAACAGGTTCAACCATAAAGGAGGGGCTGTAAACATAAAGGGCAGGCTTGATCAAAAATTTAATGGCTCCATCAATTTTTTATTGAATAAAAAAATGGTAATTCTGTTTAATGTACGCTGGGGTTGGAATTTTTGGGTGGACGTCCCCCATAAAATTACTGTAGTACAAAAAAAAAATCAATGGATTTAAGATTTTTTTTTGCTGAGTACCTGGGATTTATTAATTATGTCACAATGTTATTTACAAAAAATCAGTCTCCCGCTGACGATGAATTCTTTTTGTGAATTTTCTAGAGACAAGAAATATAAATTTCAGATTTCAGAATTCAGAATTCAGGAAAAGATGGGAAAAATTTTCGCGAATTTTCGCGCAATATCGGCGGAACTCTGGCGCAACTCTGGCAGTGGCACGCGCAAATCTTCACTGAGTAGTCGTGATCGAGCTGCTCAAAACTTCTCCCTCGGTATGAGCCACTCGTAACTTTCTCCCTAAGTAATAGTTGCTGCTATCGAGAGAATTGAAACGTATCGCAACAAAAATGAGATTTTCCGATCCATCTCAATCGAAAGTACGCAACGAAGAAAAATCTCCATCAGCTAACACACATGAAAATCTGGTGTAAAAGCGTAAATTATCACTTATTCAATATAATCAATATTATTAAATTAACCAAATATTTCAGAGCTCTCCATTTCACTCTCAATTCCTGTTTTGATCCACGGAAATTTCGCCAGCTTCAAAAGGAGGGGAGATAGCAAAATTTTTGTATAAATCGTTTTTGTAGCCCTTAAATAGCTCTACAAAAAAGATGATAACCCAAATTTTCCTATTTCTCTTAGATCTCGAGATTTTTCAATCCCATTCTATTAAATTTTTCATTGTAAATTAATTTTCTACAGTACATTTTTATTAGTAATCGATCTATCTCGAAGACAATCAATGGTAGGTGAAAATATGAAAAAAGCAATTTTGTGGCTAAATAAATGGACAATAAAAAAGGTACTTATGGATTTTCTTCTGAGACCACAAGTTTTTCAGATAAAGCGATATTTAACAAGACTGCAGAATTCGATTTATCGCCTAGCCACTTGACGACCGATATCTCCTTTTTTTATTGCTTTCTCCGCCCTTTTAAATCAACCTGACACTGAAGAAATATTTCAAAGCAACCTTCGAGTGATCATTCGTATCAATTTGAATGAACAAAGAGTAGTTAATTCCACCTGCTATACTATTTACTGTAATTAAATAAATCACAATATCGAACCCTGTTATCTGATCCTAGTATTTATTTTTCTCATTTTTCGCCGAATATGTTTAGCGTTAATCAACATTTCGGCTGAGAAACCTTCAGAATTTCCAGGTGTTTTTGACCTCCAATCCATTATCATTTCTTATCGATCTGATTAAACCACCAATTGTTCAATTCCACAAAGAACTTGAGCGTATTGGATGCGATAGAACGATATGAAGAAAAGAATACAAAAATCAAGTGAAGGTGGGGTAATCTTTGGGGTATATAAAATCTGGTGGGACCCCTGAGAATCACTCAGTCTTACCATCAATTTCTCAAATAAGACAATGAAGTGCTTCTTACAGATTTTTTTTATTGCAGCTCTGCTCAAGCTTCAGGTAAGTCGCGATGACATTTTACCATTCCATTAACATGTTCGTCAAGTTTTCTGCCCATTTCTGACGGAATTTTCAACTGCTTAAATTTTTTCTAGAATATTTTAAAAAATCAATTAATTATTGTATCCACTTGACAATTATTTTCAGATTAATGCTGAAGTTGTCAATAACCAATCGCAGCCGCTGACCTTTCATCATGCGGCATTGATGAAAAATGTTCTGCGCATATCTAAGAATAAAGTTAGCGATCTCGATCGTGTGTTTCGGGATCGCGTAATGAACTCCATTTTTATTGAGAGAGTTGACCCTACGTTGCAAGAGTTCAAAGTGAGTTTAAAAAAAATTCTGAAAATTTTTCCAGAAATTTTTTGAAAATTTGGAAAAAATATTCAGAGTACAATTTTTTTTTACTCGGGAATTTTCAACGAAATGTAATTTTACCACTAAAAAATTGTCATTGTCAATCATTATTTCAGAGTTCGATGATATCCATGAATCACAGTCTCTGTTATTCATCGATGAGCTACAATTTCTATTCACCTGATTTTCAAAACGCTGTAACTCAATGCATAACACTTTCCATTCCCAAAAGCCAGCCGATCGTCCATGAAATTGATTCATTACTAAATGTAAGTAAATTTAGCCGATAAATCATTGAATTCCGATTCCGATCGGTTACCCGATCTTGAAACCGAACTTTCAATTTCCAGAAATTGGACCAACTCGACGCCAATATTGATGCAGCAAAAATCGATTGTTCTCGTAAAAATGAAACTGACCCCTGCCTAGACGCAATAATTCAATCATACCAAGAAAATCTTCAGAAATGTGTGGAAGATCAGACCGCCATCAACTCACATATACAACAAATATTCCTAGACGCCGAAATGCAAGCCGTGAAATGCGCTCACATCGAGGAACACATCGAAGCAGCTAAAAATAAGACTCTGAATTGCTTATCAAGAGCCCCAAAAATGCCAATGCAAATGAATCCAATGAATTGAAAAATCCACTGAACATTAAAATATTGCATTCCAATCTCTATAAGGATTGACCCCTTAACATTCCGCAAAAATTTAATATTTAGCGAAAGCAGTGGGAATTTTTCCAAATTCGCAATATTTTATATACGCGGAAAAAAGACTTCCTGATTTTTACAATTTTTTTACTGTTGTTACTTGATCGTTAGGTTATTTACACTCTTCCAGGTATTTATATGTCTCTAATATACAAATATATAATATAATAAATATTCAATAAAAAAACCATATCTTCCGTAATTTACGTGAAACCTCTGTAATCTTTCCGTTCAAAAACGGTAAAAAAAATATATCTAAATTCCAACCGAACCCAAGAAACCCCCCAACCCCTGCCCACCCCCGCCCACCCCCTAAACAATGAAAAAAATCGAATGTAAATTCTGCCGGAGAAAAATGAAAAGTCTCCTCTCCTCGAACACGAGAATAGAAGAAACTAACGGGGGGATAAAATAGAAGAGAAAAAAAAAAAAGAAAAATATTGTGATGGAAGTGGCAGTGAAGCCAGCTGCGCACCTGCCAATGAATTCGTCTTCAAGTACGTCAAAGCAGAGGGGAATGGCCGGAGGGTCCCACCAGTGTCTACAAAATCCCGAGGAGTTTCATTCCATCCGAAATGGAAAAAAATCACAGTGGAATAGAACAGAAAGAATAATATCGATCGAGTGATTACAGAAAGAGAGATAAGAAAGGAAAACACGTGGATCGATTGGTGTCTGGATGAGGTACAGTTGTTGGATTTTTACGTGAGAATGAGTGACGGTGGGTGGAAGTGGGTGGAATTGTGTGAAAGGGGATGGAAAGGGATGAAAGTGGGTGAAAGTGGGTGGAAGGTCCCTCAGAAAATGGTGACAAGGTGCCCGAGGGCAAGGGAAGGGATGCAGAAAGGGCGAGGGAGGACTCTGGGGGTTGTGGGAGGGAATGAGAATTTTTACCCTGTGTAGGAGCACTGTACACTTTCCCCTCTGGCTGGCTGTGATCCGTCAACCGGAAACGACACAATTTACATGAGGAATCGGAGCTCAGCTTCCTCCGGCATAAGCTCCTCTATCTATTTTCTCCCTCAGCCGCAGGCACATCCACCCTTGGACCACTTTCAAGCCGTATTTGCTGTACGAACCGTGTGGAATAATATTTGATGGAAATAAGACGTGGATTACGATTGTGGGGTAGATTGAAATGTGAGGAGTCTAAGGAATTCGATTATTATTGGGTATTTACATTTTTTTTTTCCTTTCAACTCTCAGGGGAATTCTATATTTTTCTTTAATTAGTTAATCCAATTAATTCATTCCTATGTTTAGGTGCATGTGTAAGGTATCATTTATGGTAAATAATTGTTTGGAACTATTTATGAAGTTGTAAGTTGGTAGAGTTGATGGCGGATGAGTGCTGAATTTTTCTGGGCAGTGAGATTGCATGATTGATTTGTTAATTGATTCGGATATCTTACTTTGGATAAAGAAACTCTCGTGGGAAAAATATAAAGATCAATTGCCCTCGCGTCAATCAGTGTTGTAACGATGGATTGGATCGGCCGTTGCTGAATCAAAAGTGAATTCCCGAGATTTTCTCATAACTCACTGGGAAAATAATATCCGCGAAGCGATTGAAACTTTTTTATCCACCTCATTCCCACTTTCTTCTTCTTCCTCAACTTTTCCTGGAAAATACCTGGAAATTTCTCCATAACGTTTCGTACTCAAGTTTTCCTTCATTAATAAGCGTAATTCGGAAAATGTAAGATTCCGTGAATTTTCAGCGCTTAATGCTCGGATGAATTTCAGCATCGGGAGGAAAAATACAGGGGAAAAAAAAAGACATTCACGTATTGAGAAATTTCTCGATCGGACCCGTTAAAACTTCTATCGAGACACGTGAAAGTTCCCAAGTTTTATGTACGTTCAACCAGTCGAGTACTCTCTCAATAATTTCTACGTACTTTCAGTCACTTATTTTCGCGTTTTTTTTTTTCCCGCTGTACCTCAACATTCGCACTCGACGTTCACTTTTGCCGGATTTACGGTGGAATTCGATAGCAACTCCGAGATGACGAAGAAAGCCTGAGATTATTTCTATTTTCCTTTCAACTTTCGATCAAGTGGATAATGAGTCGCTGCAACTCGAAATCAATCCGAAAATTTCAAAGTGCATCTTCAAATAATTCCCTCCCCGTTTTTTCAATTTCACAATATTTATTTATTATAATAAATAAATAAACTTGATACATAAAATAAAAATGTAATTCCCCTCGAGACAGAAAAGTCAATATACCGCAGATTTCGATTGCAAAACTTCCGATGGGAGGGAAAAAAAAAATGGAAGCGCCGATTTCCGCTGGAGAGATAGTAACGAGATAAAAAAAGAAATCTTCACATCACACTTGTCCCCGGGAAAAAAGTATTTCCACATACATTCGCAGTCTTCACTCCATATCCTTTTTATCTCGTCTTATGGATGATGTAGCATCCAGTATCTCCGCCTAGCTCCCGCCAGTAAAATAATATAGCAATCCGTCGGCGGAAATGAAATACGAGTGAGGTGTTGGTTTCTTTATTTTCGTCTTGCATCTATTCCATCTCTTTCTCTATTTCCCCACGTATCAACTGCAGAAATGCTTTAACCCCGCCAAGACCCCCCGGAAATACTCAGAGATGCATAGAATTTTTTCTTCTTGATTCCGTGAGACATCCGCTTTGATACGTCGACGTACATCATAAGTGGGCTTATAAAGAAGCTTGCCGACATCGCGCCGACTCTCCGCCTACGTCATATCGTGTTTGTACGGCGGAGGGAAATTATTTCGCAAGTCTCCTGACAATTCCCTCGATTTTTCTGAGGAGAAATCGTAGATGGAGTGGAAAATGAGTTGGAGAGATGATATTTTCCTTTTTTTTTTCATCAAAGACTCGAGGAAGGAGATGCATTTTTCGTCGTTAGCGGAAATCCCGTTTGCGGAAGGGAGGGCTGGGTAATGTGGATTTATTTTCATTTAAATTCGTTTAATGTTTATAAAATATTAACAATTATATCACGTGCCCAATGGAATAAGTGGTCACACGATATTTTTTGTAGAAAAAATTCACAGATTTTCGGAAATTTTATTGCAGTGCATGGGAAATTTATTCCACGGAGTTAGAATATTGGGCGACTTATTATTTTAATAGGTGAATTTATTTTTTAATGTAATTTTCTGGTATTGCTCAGTGACGGAATCGATGACGGAATATTTCTGACGTGCCCTGATTTCGATGAGGTATTTATAGAATCAGATTGAGAACGAATGATAGATCGATTTTTCTGCATTGACATGGTGACTTTTCAATAACATTTCTGAAATTGATCTTTTGTATTATTAGTATTGAATATTTAAACAACTCAATCTTCATCAGAATCTCAGAATATCAGCGGTCATATTCGAGAAAATGTCATTCACCGCATAAATTTCATTAAAATTCCGAAATATATTCAGTTTTCTAATTAAAAGTTTACCTTATCTCGCATTTGCCTCCGATATTCGTGATGCACCAGGAGATGACTATCGGATGAGTACGGAAAATTTGTGGTGTTAATAAAAAAATATTGTACGTGAGTATTATACCGTGTGATTTAATCATAGAAGTTCAACATTTACACCGAAACTACAGTAATGAAATATTTTCGCTCGATATTCGTTATGACGTCTATTAAATTTCCTCATCATCCGAAGTAACGGCAGGAAGCGATGAATTTTTAACGACGACAATTGAAAATTAGTTCTCAGATATATTCCACAGCCTATCTTTATTGTTATTACACTTTCATGGATTTTCAACAATTGAAAATTCAAACGAAGAAACTCGACATTTTCAACGATCGATAATTAACACATGATAAATCGATTATTATTTATTTATTTATAATTAATGGTAAATAAAAAGAAAATCGAATTGACATTGTGATGGAATTGTTGTTGTCAGAAGGAATATGTTTACGGGAATTTTTCAGTGGTCTATTATTTTTCAGGGAGATGATTATGGGTTTCAGTTCATTATGCATTTTTTTTTTCATCGTCTTTGGGGCGCATGAAAAAATTTACCATGTGGAACAGTAATTGCGATTTCAGCTGCCATGCCCACCTACGTGGGGAGAGTTCGCAATACGACGTTTAAAATTCCCACTGGGATAGCCAATAATTCCTATCCTACCGAGTAATGATTACTCCCCTGATCAATATTAAAGATAATGTTTTGAATCCTGAGCATTAAGACCTATTTATTTTTACGATTTATTTTTCCCGAAAAAAATTGAAAGCCTGACTCAAAAAGGAAGACAAAATATTAAATATTCAATATAAAGGAGAAGATTCAATTGATTCCCTAATGAAGAATTTTATAGAAATTTTTCGTTCTTCCATCGAGTTTCAATGTTTTTTTAATTCTCTATTTTTGTGTAATTTTTAAATGAATTATCATGTGGACAGAATTGTTCCGCAAAAACAAACCTTTATCACCGCCCCTCCATAACTCTGCAATCTGCCCTCCCAACCTAATTACCCAGCAGTTCCCGAGGGACCAGAGACCTCTCCAAAGCCCATCTTGACTGGAAAATAAACAAGCCCATATCCAGGAAAAAAAAAGTACAAGCCAGTGCCCTATCTGCATATTCCTCCCCGCCACTTCGTCTTCCCCAGACAAAACCGACTACAAATTCAAGAATTTCCTACAATCTACAACAATTCCTCTTTCTGTAATAAACATATACATAACTATTATTAATTATCCATCCCATTTGTTTATTCTCCAGTAATTTGCATGAAAATGACTGACGAGTGGATACTGCATTTTAAAAATATTTGTAGTTGCAATTTTTTGAGATAATGTTTTGGATTGGGTGATTTTTATTAGGAGGAATTTTCATGAGAGTCAGAGGGGTTGATAAAATGTCAGAGTGTTAGGTCTCATGTGCATTATAAAGTCCTAGCTGGTTGTAAGGAACAACCCGGTGAGTGGCAAACGAGAAAAGAGAAACAATGGTGAGTAAGGAAATTCCTCGACGGCAAATGTCATCCTATCCTTTGGCCCTACGAGCAATTTATCCTCGTTTAGGGTCGCCGAGGAGGATTCGCTTTGGTGAGGTACAACCCCATCCCCTGGACTGGTTTATAGCCGGAGGTGAACTTGTCACATCGCGAATTCTAATGCCGTAGA